GGGGGGGGGGGGGGGGGGTCGTGCTTTTTAGTGCTGGGAATCAATTCCCCGAGATAGGCATGAGCCTGAAAAGCTGTTCGGAAGCCCCGGCGCGTGTGTTTGCTCCGCGCTCCGGTCTTGTCTGGAGGCAGCTCTTCTTCTCCGCTGTTGGGGTAAGGCTGATTGTCCTGCAGACCGGGCTGGCGCCGACCAGAGGGACAGTGACACTAAGGAAAACCATTATCCCAAATGCATCAGACATGAGAGGACAAGACAATCCTTGGATACAGGCAAAATACTTCCAAGGACTCGAAGGCCGGGTCCTGTATGCTTATTAAAATCAGTGAGAGAATGTGTGTGCAATATGTATGTGTAATGAGTGTGTGTCTGTGTAATAAGTGTGTGTAATGATGAATGTGTGTGTCTGTGTAATGAGTCTGTGTAATGACTGTGTTTGTAATGAGCGTGTGTAATGAGCGTGTGTGTGATGTGTGTGTAATGGGCGTGTGTGTAATGAGCATGTAATGACTGGGTGTGTCTGTAATGAGTGTGCAATGAGCGCGCGCGCGCGCGCGCGCGTCTGTGTGTGTGTGTGTGTGTGTGTGTGTGTGTGTGTGTGACACCCAGTTCACTGCCGACTCAGACGATACAACCTCCCAGCGTTTTACGGTGCCCTGAATGCCAACTGCTCTCCCGGCGTCAGGCTGCCTCTCCCGGGGTATCTTGGCAGCAACATCTGAAACCAACACGGGGCTAAACTGCAATGAGCGTCTGATCTGGGCAATGGGAGAGCCTTGCTGCCGTGCAGAGCCGGGCTGAGTGTGCATCACAGACCCGAGCTGCAGCAGACTGGGCTCTTTCGGGCGCCGACCTGCTGAATGTCGCACCTCCCAGGCTCGCAGGCTCGGGCTCTCCGGAGGCTGGAGGCACTTTTGCTCCCCAGAGCCATCCCGGGTACTGCTGGCCCACGGCTGGGGTCTTGATCCAAGGCTCTGGTGAACGGGTGGCAATCTGAAACAGAAGTATTACGGATTTAACTCGGAAGTAAACGTCTCAGACATCTCATTACGTTTCTCCCTGTTAAAGAGGCTTATCATCTCCCTCGTTTGTATATCAGCCCTCTTTC